GAAAAAACCCTTGAGCTTTCTGAGAGAGGGAACCAGCCCAATCTTTGTCAGGCTTCTTGACCCAAGTTACTAGGAGGTTGTATCTTCTACAGTGCTATAGAGTTTGCAGAAGGATTCCACAAATATCATTTCAGGGATGCCTGATAATTCTGTGAGATTTAGGTGTAACATCTACTTTTCACATGAAAATGTGACGCTCTGAGGATGAATGCTGTACCCAAGGATCTGTATCAGGAAAGGGATACCAGGCTGGCCTTCCAAACCAGCCCTGCTCAAAATTAGATGCCCTGTCCTGCCCTGGCACTGCTCAGCCCTGAGTCTGTGATGATAGTCCAATCCCATTTCTCCTCCACAGGCATGTGCTGTGTCTGCTGGCCTCTTTCTTCTCTTACTGTGTGAGAATTGGAATTATGCCACAAGTCCAACCCAGAAAGCCCTGGATCGCCCCATAGCAGAGGTAGTCATTTCCTGTTCTGAGGATCTGCAGCTCCTTGTACTTTTGGGTTGATGTTTGTCATGTTCTGCTGCTCATCACAGTTATTGACCCTACGGTGCTCCTTATTCACCTCCCTCATGATTCCCTTAAAGTTCTTTAAGGACTGGGACAGTCTCCTTCCTCTGTGTCCCCTAAGCATGTACTAGGCACAGAACCATGTACATTGTAGGTGCCCAGTGAAGGCATTGAAATAACAGGCAGTTGTTCGGGCAAGAAGCTGTTGCAGAATCTGCTCAGTGTGGTGCAAAAGGGCCCGATGAGGGTGTTGAAACATTCATGCCTGTGTCCTGCTCCCAGCTCCCTTGAATACAGGCACCCACAGGGGAGCCCTGGCACTGGACAACAGCGTGGCCAACAGCATACTCTAGCAAACACTGTAGCACACTCTAGAAAACACTGTTGAGACTGCAGTAAAGTGGGAAACATACTCAGGCTGTTGTCCTCTAAAATAATATCCCTTTAATAGTTTACTAGTCATTGGAGGAAATATATACCTTGACACAAACTTTTTAAAAGGCAGGTTGGCAGTTATTATAATATTTAAAAATATACAGCATCTGGGCAGCACCTGTGGCTTGGTGAGTGGGACCCCTAGCCCCATATACCAAGGGTGGCAGGTTCAAACCCAGCCGAACCACAACAAAAAAATAGCCAGGCATTGTGGCGGGTGCCTGTAGTACCAGCTACTCGGGAGGCTGAGGCAAGAGAATCGCCTCATCCCAGGATTTAGAGATTGCTGTGAGCTGTGTGACACCACAACACTCTACCGAGGGCTATAAAATGAGACTCTGTCTCTAAAAAAAAAATACACAGCATCTTTGACCCAACAGTTCTATTACTATATGCTTATCAGTATATAGAAAGATACATGTATGGGAATGTGTACTTCAGAATTATCCATAATAACAAAACAGCTTAACTCTCAATCAGTAGAACTGGTCATATAAATTATAGTGAACCATATAGTAGAGTGCTATGCATCCCCTAAAAATATTAAGATAGATTTTTATATGCTGGTATGGAAAAATCTTCAGGATACATTGTTGGTAGCAAAAGAAAACTGTAGCTTAATTTGCATGTTTGACCATTTGTGTGTAGAAAAAAAAGATATATTTTCTTCTGTGTGCATTGGCCATTTCTGCATGTCTGTGCAAACATCAGAAGGGGTTGTGTCTACTTCTGGGTAGTTGCATGTGGGGAAGTCTGCTACTTACTTAATATCCTTGTATTTTAATTGTTTTTTCTCTGAGCCCATGTACTATTACAGTAAAAATGGAAAGCTCTGGCCCTTCATTATCAGGTATCATTCACAGCAGCTGACACGATACAGTTTCTGTTTTAAAGTGTCACATTTTGCCTCAGCACCCATAGCACAGTGGTTACAGCACCAGCCATATACACCAAGGGTGGCAAGTTCGAACCCGTCTCAGGCCAGCTAAACAATTGCAACAACAACAAAAAAAATAGCTGGGTGTTGTGGTGGGCACTTGTGGTCCCAGCTACTTGGGAGACTGAAGCAAGAGAATTGCTTAAGCCCAAGAGTTGGAGGTTGCTGTGAGCTGTGACATTGTGGCACTCTACCTAGGGCGACATACTGAGACTCTGTCTCAAAAAAAAATGTCACATTTTTTTTTTTTTTGCAGTTTTTTTGGCCAGGGCTGGGTTTGAACCTGCCACCTCCAGCATATGGGGCCAGCACCCTACCCCTTTGAGCCACAGGCGCCACCCCAAAAGTGTCACATTTTGAAGAATATGGCCCTATGTATCTCTCTCTCTCTCTCTCTCTATTTATATATATATATCACAAGTTAACCAAACCTAAATAGAACCATTTTAAATAGTAGCTTTATAGTATTCTTTGTTTAGATTTCAAATTGAGATACAAGTCACATACCATAAAATTTGTAGTCTATTCACAGGGTTGTGCAGCTGTCACCACTCTGTAATTCCAGAACATTCTCATCACGCTAATAAGAAATAATGTACCCATTAACAGTCATTCCTCCCCATTCCTCATCCCCTAGCCCCTGATAACCACTAATTAATTTTCTGTCTCTATGGATTTGCCTTTTTTTTTTTTGAGACAGAGCCTCAAGCTGTCACCTTGGGTAGAGTGCTGTGGCTTCACTGCTCACAGTAACCTCCAACTTCTGGGCTCAAGCAAGTCTCCTGCCTCCGCCTCCCAAGTATCTGGGACCACAGGCGCCCGCCCAACGCCTGGC